GTTCTTGATCTTCAGCTGCAATTGCACGCATGTTATTCACCGCTCCATCCATGATAGCCTGCATAGCTTTTGCTAGGTCCTCCGTCTTTCTCTTCTTCTGGGCAGATCCGCTCACAGAGCTTGTATTTTTACTCGAACGCTTACCGGACCCCAATGAAACACCACCACTGATAGCATTAATCGAGGGGTCGTCTTCAAATACGTCAGAGAGAAGTGTGTAAGAGGCCTCGCTAAATGCAACTCGTTTCCACTTTTTGAGAACAGCAGCGCATTCTTCTTGGCTCTGTTGAAACCACGCAGGGCGGCCTGTGCTACCCACCAACGACCCATTGTTGTGATCTGAGATGAGCGAAAACGACTGTTTAAGCGAGGCCACTTTGGCTTCAGTAGACCGTAGCGATAGTGGACGGAACGCGCTATCACAAACATCAAGCCCACCTTCTGGTCCTTCAGTAGCACAAGCAGTTTTGAATTCGTCTGCGGACAACGTCACCGAGCCAGTCTCTACTGCTTTCCGATTAGCCAGTCTACCTAAATACTCGTTGTAAATCACCTGATTAAGCATCTTAGCCGTTGAGCCTACAGGCATAGAGCGTAAGGTAGCTGACTTCCAGGCGGAGATAAGCACATGGACTTCATCTTCTCCCCATGCCTTTCCTCGAGTTGCTGTTTTCTTCTTCTCAGTATTTTTCTTCGTACCGCCTTCTTCCGCCATCGCCGAAACACCGTTTGTGAAGACGCGCAATTAAACCTGCTAAAATAAATTTATACCCGTCTAATTCGATATTTCTCCATTTTTGAAGTTTAACTTGCTAAAAAAGATATATACCTGTCTAATTTGATATGTCAATAACGGAAGGCAGTGTGAACGGGTTGCCAGCATCGGAGCACAAAACGCGATAACCAACCCTAAAGCTGCGGCATTTCCTTATGCCGGAAACCCTTTGTGTGAGCCGCACCAGTGCCCAGCGAGCACAGCGTTGACTGCCTGCACTCGCGCGCTAGTGATTACGTTGATCACGATTCAAAGACGCCTGAGCGCTCTGAAAGCCCTGCCAAATCGGCGAAGACCTCTCCTTATGCTGGAGGCGACGAGGAAGGCAAACCTCCGAAGAACCTCTCGGTCGCCGAGGGCCTTGAGCGTGCTCAGGCTGCTAAAGCCGCACCCACAGAGGCCAAGCACTCTAAGAAGCGCATGGCTTCTACGTCTCCACTCCGCGAGGGGAAGCAGACCGATAACCTCTCGGTTGATGGAAGCTCCCTGGCCGACAGGTGTCGCCTCCGAACCCCCAGGGTTTTGCCGGGCAGCTTGGAACAACTCCT